TAATTTTATTCAGAGAAATTCTTGATTATTTAGTATATACTCTAGGAATATCTAATATTTTAATAATAATATTATTATTTAATATATTTGTATTAATATAATCCTTATCTAATTTAGTCAATATTATTAATATAAATACTAATACTATTTATAAACAAGAATTTGAAAACTTTTTAATATCTACTATAAAAAGTATATAGATATTGCAAGAGAATTCAGTAATTTTTTTAAACTTGCTTTAATCTAAAGTATTATCAATACAAGAATAATCTAATACTACTGATACTAATAATCAATATACTCTAATAATTTATCTTTATAATATAGTTACTTCAAATATTTTCAAGTAAAGTTAATATCTGATAGATATTATATATAAAAGTAGAAGTCTTTAAAAGTGTTCAGCTCCTATTGCTAATATTTTTTTACTAAAGCAAGAAATCAAATAATATTGTTAATATCTATTTTATGCAAGTTTATAAAAAAGAAATATAGATTATAATCAAGTTGAAAGAAAATATAAAAGAAATAATTAAAAATAAAATTTTATTATTATGCAAGTCAAATAAATTCAAAATACTTATAAAAAAATATTCTTCTTTGTGACTTATAAAGCTTTAATAATAGATTTATTTAGTAAAGATATTTACAATCAAGAACTATGATTTTCTTTAAATCAATAAATGCTAGAATTTTTTAAATCAAAACAAATTACAGTTCTGAACTATTAGTATTTTTTATATTATAACTTGCTAAAAATCAGCTTTGGTCAGAGTTTAATATATATATAAAAATAAAGAGGAAATCAATTCTTAATCTTTCTTTTCTTTCATTATGCAATTATATTTCTAACTTTTTTTTACTACATGATCATGTTTTTAACTGCTTTTTTTTGCTATATGATCATATTCTCAATCTTTCTTTTATTATACTAATCTTTCTTTCATTATACAGTTATGTATCTAACTTTTTTCTTTCATTATATAGTTATATTTTTAACTATTTTTTTTCATTACACAGTCATATTTCCAACTGCTTTCTTTTGCTATATGGATATATTTCTATCTTTCTTTCATTATACAATCATGTTTCTAACTTTTCTTTCATGATTATGTACTTATTATATGATTATTTTCTTGCTATTAGTTTTTTTTCATGTTATTCTAATAATTATTTCTTTAGGTATGCTGCTAAACTTGAAGAAGTATTCAGTTTCATGCTAAAAAAATTTCTGTTATCAATGTTGATTATGAAATTTGAAATTTAATAATTATTTAAGTTAATAAACACTAGCAAAAAAAAATAATTCATGTATTATATATATATTGTTAATTTGCACTGATATTTCATAATATTGTCTGTATCATTTATCCAAATTAGGAGAACTGTTAAAGCGTTGTACCTACATGATATATGTGACTAGTATCTATTTCAAATAGTAATCTGCCACTATAGTCAGAGATCCTGAGTGTGCAATATGTAATATAAATTAGAGTATGTAATACTGTATGTAACAGTAATATATAAAGTATGATAAATATCAAACAATCTTTTTGACTTATCTGTATTTACAAAATTATTAATATCTTGAGAATATTGTTATATAATATTAGTTAGGAGCTGTTTTTTTTAATGCTGCTGGTGGCATGTTCTTGGTAGTCAGAATTACAAAGTAATAAGCATAATGTTGAACAAAGTAGGGCTTTTTTTTACTTTATTTTATCACTAATGTCGTAATATTGAACAAAGTGATTTTTTTTTACTTTTTTTATTTATCACTAACGTTATTCACTTACAAATTCCTTTCTTGTTATTTAATTTTCCATTTCATTTCTTATTCACTATATAATTATTTATTCACTTCTATTTTTCAGTATTTTTTATTTTTGATATATTACAATTTGAGTACATGCCAATCATGCATATATAAAAAATTAAAAATGCATTCTCCAAAAACTAAAAACGCATTTGATTACTTTATAATGAACTTGAAATGGACTTCACAACTTTAACACCTGATCAAAAGCGTGTTATTCTCTTTAATATTAATCAATCACTTGAAATCCCACTGTCTAAGTTTAATAATAAGTGGTGACCTCTGATTACGAATATATAGACTATATTTAACTACAAATACCATGTTAATAGTAATTCATGAAAGATTTATATTTGTCATTTCAACAAATATAAGCAATCGAGCACTCAAAAAGAAGGAATACCAAGTGAGAAACATCAAAAATTAACAATCTGACCAGCAAATTTGTACTTTGCAAAAATCAAAGTGACTCAATTTGTTATTAAACAAAAAATATGGGTTGAATGATATCACAATTCTCCTGACCACATATATACTTTGAAAGATAGTAAAAGACTAAAACGATCACAGACTATTTGTACCTTAGTTGAAAATGAAGCTATTAAGAATTATTCATTATCAGAAATCATGCGCATTATTAAAGAATATGCAACTGAAAAATTAGATCTTAATTCTAGTATCGAAGAACTAAGATGAATAGAGATTGCTAATATAAAATATAAGACTAATTAAAATTAATCCTCCTATTTTATTAATAGTATTAATCTAGAGTCTAATATAAATGAAGTGATTTCTTTACTAGCAAATAAAAAATATTTAATTGAATGTTATCAAATCATTTAACAGTCTACTCAAGGCTTTGTCTTTGCAAATCTGGATCAACTTCAAAAGCTTCAAAAATATGGGTGGCTAACACTTATTGATTTAACTCATAAAATCAACAAATATGATTGGTATTTATTTACATTGTATATCCATGATGAATATGGATGTTGGGATATGGGAGGACATTTTTTTGTAAGTAACGAAACTAGTAATATGATAGCAGAAGTCTTAATAATAATTTGATGACTTGCTTGCTGCTGAAAGTCTCAGTACTTTCTTGCAGACCAAAGTAATATAGAGATCAACATCATCAAAATTGTATTTCTGGATATTCAAAAAGGTAAGCAAGAGTATAATATTCTCTTTTGCACTGTCCATGTTATGTGGACTTGGATGGGCAAGATCTATCATGTAAAAATGTAAGATAAAATAAATCAAGTGATACATAAATTAACAAAAATTACTTGTGAGGAATCTATCCAATAAGTGATAAATAATTGTCCAGTTCCTACTGTTTAGCAGTACATCCTAAGAAACTATGCGTAAAATATACACCAGTGGGCTCTTTGGGCCTGTCAATACTCTTCTCTTCTTTTACAGATGACTTCAACAAATGTCTTGGAGTTCTACCATAACAAATTAAAATAAAGAACCTCTCCATATCATGATCTAGTTGATAGGGTATAATTTTTTTATACTCTGATATTTGCATATTATTTACCACTAATTCTAATAATTCTAATAATTTTTATTAGGCGCATATCATCACATTATTTTACTTGATAAAAAGAAGTGTTCAGATTCTAAGTACACCACTTTTAGATTTCGTACTATAAAGATTTCTGTTAATGATATCAACTGTAAAATTCTTGATGAAATTCATAAGTTTTCTTTTCTAATTCAACAAATAATCATTAGTAAGATCTGTGTCATCGAAAAGAGAATAGAATATAGCAAAGTGGCATCTAATCTAATATCACTTGAATGTTATTGCCTATTCTTCCGTAAGTATTGCTTGCTCTGTCAACATATCTTTTATGAGTATATATATAGAGCTAGGAAATTATTAATAACCAGTGCTTGAAAAGATTTCCAGCAAATGTTTGAAGGGTGTGGATTCGAGATATATGAGCATCATGACTTGAAAGAGATGATAATATTTGACAAAACCGAATGTGAGAGAGCTGCTGAAGATTGATGATAGATCATAAATGAATTAATAGAAAGAATAAAAGATGTATACTGACAAGTTGAGAAGAGAGGAAATATCAAACAAACAATTTTATTTATAAAAAAATTGAAAGTTAGTTTGGAGTCAGTTTTAAATTAATTTATGTTTTTATTATTTACGCAAAATAATATTAAGTAATTTTTTTAAAATAATATATTAATTTCCATAATTATTATTTAAGTACAATAATTTAAGTAATTTTTAAATGAATAATAATATATTAATTTATTTAATTATTTGAGTATAATATTAATAATATTAAATGATTTTTTTTCAGGTACTTGAAGTGAAAAATGGATTTTTTCAGGAGTCGCTATTAGATCTTTAAACAAAGTCCAAATATAATATTTGAGAAGACTGCACTTTTTATTTGAAGTTGCGAATTACTCAAAAGAAAAATTACTATCAAACTATAAAAATAATCAAGCAAACACTATCAATCAACTTACTATCTCTTGATCCCTTCATTTTTAATCACTAACACACTATTTCTTGATTTCTTCACTTTAAGAGACCATTCCTTATTACTAATTGCCACGTCATTTATAACATTAGTAAATAATAATAAAAAGTAAAAAAAAAACTCACTATTCCTTGATCTCTCTGTTATCAAGTGGCCATTTCTATTATACCATTTAATTGTAAGTGAATAACATTAGTGATAAATAAAAAAAGTAAAAAAAAATCACTTTGTTCAACATTATGACATTAGTGATAAAATAAAGTAAAAAAAAGCCCCACTTTGTTCAACATTACGCTTATTACTTTGTAATTCTGACTATCAAGAACATGTCGCCAGCAGCATTAAAAGAAACAGCTCCTAACTAACGTTGCATAACAATATTCTCAAGACATTAGTAATTTTGTAGGTACGGACGAGTCAAAAAGGTTGTTTGATGTTTATCATACTTTATATATTACCGTTACATACAGTATTGCACACTCCGATTTATATTACATATTGCACACTCGGGATCTCCGACTACGGCGGCGGATCGCCATTCGAAATGGATACCAGCCACATATGTCACGTGGGTACAACGCTTTAACGGTTCCCCGGATAAAGATAATGATCAACGATCGTTAGCGGGAATTTTTATTCTTTCGAATCGTTTTCATTCAAACGAGATGGACTACGCCTTTTTCGAAGAATATGACCTTGATATGTTTGATGATTACCCATTGGGAGACCATTTCCCCTCAGTTTCAATTTCTTCTCCTTCTACCACTGATAAAGATTCACAGCCAGATTCCGAAGCTGATAACCTTACAGAATCAAACACCCCTTCTCCAAATCCTGTTGGACTTTGTTCGCTTCCAACCGAAATACTTTTACTCATCTTGCATAAAGTAATTCTATCAGAGAATAGACCCAAAACTGCCATACTATCATTACCGCTCACCTGCAAAACATTATTTAAAATCTCACGCGATCCTATCGTTTGGGAGAAGTTGTTTAGCGATGAATATGACGTCATTGCGCGAAAACGGCGGGTTCAGAACTGTAATTTTCGAAAGCTTTATTACCGACGATCGAAATTATCTATTTCTTTTATGAATTCGTCGTTGTTCCGAATCGAACCACAGTACGTAGATAGTGTGTTGGATGTTCTGACCAATCTGTGGATGTTGATCAGCGAAAATGGTTAGTTAGTTAGCTAGTTAGTTAATTCAGGAGGATTTATGTGTCCGTTTGTGTTGTAGTTGTAATACAACTTCAAACTATTGCATGCGGTCAGAAAGATGTTATTAGTCCCTTTTATTTCATGTTAAACATCTTTTAGATGGGAGAAACACAAAGAAATTGGTGGATCTATGTGCCGCCGATTTTTGTATTCAAGTTTATCAACGGCTACATTCCTGGGCAGATTTATCGTTGAAACATTTCACTTCTGTACTGTTAACGATTAAAGTGATCTCTTATATGTTGACACAAGGTGAATGTCTTTCTTTGATAATTCAATGATCATCTGTTAAAATTATCTAAATACTAAATGAATGATTAATGTCGGAAACAGATATTCCAAGTCTTGATTTAATTGTTGGGAGTATGGCTGCTGAATTTTATGATCGAATGCGAAATTGGGATCCTACCAAAGATAGCGTTAATAATATTTTATATACTCATGCGCTGCATATTTGCTTGCGCAATGAAAATAAGGAACTCGTGGCTCCATATTTTTCTCCATGCTCTTACGTTTTTGAGCCACGCAAAAATGATGAATGGATGTTATGGGTAGAAGATATGCTGGATGTAAGAATGCTCCACAAATATTCAATGATTAATTAATGTGTGTGAAAAAAAAATTTATTGATTATTTTCTTCAATACAGTTATTTTCCACCAATAAAGTATTATGGTGCATGAGAAACGACGCATACGACACACATATGCCAAATTATTGGTACGGTTTCTCTATGAACTCGCAAATGACAAAAATCACAAATCTTTTATTGCTCGATCTCAATTTCATAATTATAAACAACCACCATCAGCACCATTACGATGCTTTATTACAACCAAGAAATTATTTCACATCATCGACATCGTCGTCGTCAATGTCTAATTACAACAGCGGCAACAATGATACCTTCGCAACAAGTTTTTTCATCCACGGTCAATTAACCTACGATTCTGGTGAAGAAATTGAGGTGGTCGGTGAATGTTGGCCGGTAGATAAAGGAAGACGTGTATCATTTCATTATTTTAATCCGAACATGAAAGGTGAACTATGGGAATTCTGTGGGTACTACGTTGCGACATTTGGTATTGTTGGCAAATGTTGGAGGAGATTTTCGTCGGTTGATCAAGCGGAATTCTTTTGGATTTGGAAAGATAATTTATGTGACATGAATTGAAAATTTAGGATTTGTGAATTCTTTAAAATATTGTTATTAAATAATTCCGAAGTCTCCTATAAAACAAATTTGAGAATCATGTTTTGCCAAGCAATATAAATATATGTTCACATTTCCCAATTCTAATATAATAAGAGCACTATATTTAAATTACTATCTCCCGGGAAAGAAAAATACAAAAATTTTGTACGTTGATTAACTTGCACGACAAAATATAAAGGACAAAAAATGTGTATGTGTGTGTATGTATATAAAGTTGTGTATGAATGCATGTAATTATATATGTATATAAGTGAAATGAATCTGTGAAGAATAGAATTCAAGAAAAACAAATATTTCTGAAATAAATATTAAATAAAATAATATGAACAAGAAACTTTGAATAAATAAAAACAAAACGTTTTTGTGATAATATTTATAATAACATATAGGGGCATTATGAAGAGCTTTTTTCGGTAGAGTCGGCATCGTCATCTATATTATTACGAACTTCTTCAGCATCAACATCTTCTGTTATAATATCTGGTGCTGATCTAGTATACTCTGTGGTTTCTGATTCTTCAATTTTTTCAGTGGTAGTGACAGAAGTAGTAGAAGATCCTTTCAATTTTGCTTTTTCTTCGGCTTCTCTTTTAGTCTTTTCCTCATTTTCAAGCTCTTGTTTAAGGCTTTCCAGCGATAAATAGACTCGATTATTATACGAAGTACCGGATTTGAGGGCATCTTCATTAAACTAGGAAAATAAATAAATATCAATTTAAAAGCCTCGCACAGATATGCTTCAATTCGCTAATAACGGAAAATAAATTTCTCGTATAATATACCTGGAAGTCCATTCCGATGCCTTTTTCATTTTGTAGATCAAGGATCTTTAATAATCGCCTCCTATTATTAATAACAGAATTCAATTAGTCTGAAGATATCGCGCAGTAAAGTCAATTATTTGGTATAGCTTACCCTATTCCATTAATAACAGAGACATTATCCTTGTCTCTTACCCATACAGCAATTCTGTCACCTCGACTTCGACGCGACATTACTTTAAAAAAAACGAACATCATTTTAAACTAAATAATAATAATGATAATAGCGATTCTTGATATCGTAAATAAATTGGAGATTACAAAATCTATTTACCAGCGCCACATATATCATCATTTTCGTCTAGTTCTTCACCGACCAACGAATACACAAGCCAAGTCCAACAACGATCCAACAACTGGGGATTTCTCATTGAAATAACCCATTTTCCACCCTTATATCATAAATATGAACATCATTAATAGTTGTATTCAAAAGGTAATAAAAATAAATTGTTTAGGTACTAACATTGGCATTCGCTGGATCCTCCCACATAGGCTTGATTTTATTTTTGAAAATATGGAAATTAGTATTCAGTTCTAATTGGCTAGGTTTTTTCACCCAATTAAAATATCGACAGAATGTTTCCACCTATATATGTGAAATGCAAATGAGAGATTAAAGATTTACCGGATTATAAAAATGTCAACATAAATAAATTTTTTTATTACTGTATTGAAAGTTCCAATTTTCTGCAAATTCTCTTCATACGAATTTTTCAAAGTAGGAGTTTTAGGACCAGGAGTCATGACTGGCTTGCTATCATAATACATAGTCCTATATACATGCAAAAATATCGAAATAGTTGCCAAATTTTCGACTTAGTCAGGTAAACACACTATTATAATCAATAGTTCACACATGTTAAGTATGACTATCACACATTATCTATAATAATACAAACCAAGAATGTTGTAGCGGATGTTGCTTATCTAATTCTTTAAGGAATTTAGGTGACAATCGATGAACATCATCCATCGCCGAATTGTGGCTCCTAGATCTCATTAATGGCAATCCGCCAGGCACCAGCAACGGTGAGGAATTATTAGCGCTACCAGAAGAACGTCCTGACGGAGTTCTTTGAAGAGGTTTACTACCGCCAAAACTGTTAAAAGTTTCTACGGACAGTTTTGGACGAAGTATAGTGGTACCTTTAAGAGTAGTCTTTGAGAAATTACCCATAATATTTTTTGAATCTTTTTCTGAGATTGTTGTTTGTGTTAGATTAAGTCTGGCCCATCGTTCATTATTCTCTCGAATTGTATTGATATTAAAATCGGCAAAGTTCGGAGGTAAACTCAGTCTATTAGAGCTTTTTAAACTTCGATCATTACTTCCATTATTATTTCCATTTCCAAGGGAAGGAGCAATCCAGGGATGTAATACACTACTACCTAAGCTTAAACGAGCGTCTTGCGAAGAAGATCTAGAAAGATTATCACCACCGTCTCTATTATGGTTGGGTCGGGGACTTTTAGAACGTGACGAATCTCTATTATTCATACTGTTATTGTTAGAACCTGAATTTTTCGGACTTTTAGGTCCGGGACTTCGTGATCTTGACCGGTCTTGACCCTTTGGCCTATCCAAAAATTTGTCACTTATAGATGGACTCTTCGGCCTACCAGAAGGACTTTTTCCACGTTTATCACTTGTAGAGTTTTTATTATTATTACTATTATTATTGTTGTTGTTGTTGTTGTTGCTGCTGCTGTTGCTGCTACTGCTGCTGTTGTTGTTGCTACGCGATGGACTTTTTCCTCTAGCTGGACTTTTATCTCTTGACGAATTTCTGTCTCGCTGTTCCCTCGCGTTTGCACTTATACGAGCATTAAATATTTCAAGTAGATCTGAATGAGATCCTCGGACACTACTAGAAAGAGGAGTTTCAAGAAGGGAAGACCCGTTAGGCTTTGTAGGATTTACAAGCTTGACATTGATGGTAGGTATAGGTGAAGTGACTGAAGAGGCTGATGACGAACGAGAGTGCTCAGATGGCATGACACGCGCAATCTATTTTTTTGATAATTCTATATAATTTACTTAATATATTACAAAAAAGATTATTTACCAGAAAAAAGGTAGTAAAGTCTTAAACAACTTTCTTGTCGTAGATAGAAAAGAAACAAGAAACTTGTGGGTAAAAACAACGAATTTTGGAAACTCATTTTTATATAATGCGTGTCGATATGTTTGTACAACGCCGAATACTGCGTTTTATTGTATATGTTATCGATCTTTAATGTGGGGTTCCATTACAACAATATATCAAACTTTGATTTAAAAAAATTATACAAAAATAATAATTAAAAATCTACTTTGTCATTTACTTTTCACGCAGGATTAGTGGCGAGCCTTCAACAATTTTATCAATACGTATATTTTTATCAATACGTAAATTATGAGTTTAGTATATGGTTTAGTAGCTCGTGGGCCTATTATTCTCGCAGAGTATACAAACTCTTCCGGGAATTTTACTCAAGGTATTACCTTATAAATACTTGTGGTGGGGGTGATATTTTTGAGGTTGAATTTCTATCAATTAACATACTTATTACTATAATACCAGTGACACAGGCGATTCTTGAAAAAATCCCCCCAAACAATTCGAAGTTAACTTATGTTTATGATAGGTTATAAAAATACGTTAATTCTTTTGTATACATACGTAAAAAGACTCTGCTCTAAAATCAATATTTACATTAATATTATCGTTATAGATATCTATTTCATTATATTTGTGAGGATGGCCTCACTTATATGTGTATGGCTGATGATAGCTTTGGACGTCGAATACCTTTTGCCTTTTTGCAAGACATTAAAGAACGGTTTCTGGCCACTTATTCCAAAGATCGGGCTAATACTGCGTTGCCATATGGAATGAACGAGTTTTCAAAGGTTATCGCTAATCGAATGGTAAAACAAGAAATCATTATTTGTGAATCTATCTACGCATGCCTGAGTTAATTAATTTCTTCTTTTTCTCCGTATAGGAATACTTTTCCACTAATCCAAATGCCGACCGAATCAAACAAGTGCATGGTGAAATCGAGCAAGTTAAAGATGTGATGGTGCATAATATCGGTAAATATATGAGAGTAAATTTTTTATTCTATTAAGAGCTTCTGCTTACTATACAATGTTATAACATAACATAAATGTAGAACGTGTTTTGGAACGAGGAGAAAGGATCGAACTTCTCGTGGACAAAACTGATAATCTGAATCAACAAGCGTTTGCCTTCAGGAAACGTAGCACGGCTTTGAAGGTTTGTCTTATTTTAATATAAGATCATAATATTATTACTAACTATGATGATTATTTCGGTAATATTGGACAACAAGATTTTTAATAATTAAATATTTTTTTACTATTGCAGAGATCAATGTGGTGGAAGAATACAAAACTAATGATTCTCTTGATATTTGTTATTATTGTAAGTAGATTATGATTTTTTTAAATTTCTTTCTTTTTTTTTCAAATAATATTTCAAATACGAACAATAATAATAATCATCATGTTAATTGAATTTTCGTGAACAGCTGATCATCTATTCAATAGTTTCTGCGGCATGTGGTTTTCCAAGTAAGTTCAATTTTTTTTTTTTACTTAAAAAAAAATTCAAACACGAAAATTAACTATTATTAATCATCACAATATTATTACAGCTTGGCAAGTCTGTCTAGGTGGAAACTAAATACCAAAAAAATTGACACACTATTGTTATGATTATCAATTTCATTATTTTATTATAAACTTCATCCTCTTCAATATATTATTATTATTGCAGAAACAAGAAACATTTTAATAGCTATCTATTTAAGAGTTGATTCAATTTCTTAAGATATTATTGGTAAATTAATATATATAGTAGTGGTTTTATTTTATAATTCTCAAAATAGCCTCCTCATTTACGCTTATTAGTAATAAAAGTAGCTTTTTATATAGGATTGTTTGGAAATCTCTCTTTTGGTACCTATGAAAATCATCAAAATAGAAAAATAACTTATTTCCGAATAATAGTTAAAAAAAAACCGAATAAATACAAACGTGCATATCAAACATAAATGCACCTATTGTATTACGGCCGATGATTATCTCGCAATAAAGAGACGATATAGAATACACCTGCTATGGAAACTAAATGAGTATAGATATTTTTGCCATTCAATTTGCCAAAAAATCAATGGAATACATATTGATGCAGCATGTGCGTGAATAAATCTAATCGGCTATTATTAGAACAATGTAACGTACTATAAATTCTTCTCCTTGAGAAATAAATTTCTTGATCCCTTAGAATTGTTTTGATTTTTAAATATAGTGAATAATTTATACACATAACTAGAAAAGTGTGTCAAATATTATAAAAATTTGTAGATCTGTAGAATAAATTCTGAGATATATTTTATTACTGGTATTTTGTATGTTAAAACTTGAAATTGTACTTAATTTTTATGTGTAAAGCTTATGAATAATATAGTGAATTTCATAATTATGAAATCACTTAAATAAAATTTTTTTTAATTATAATATCTTAAAAACAAGAGATATTATAATTATAAAACTTAAAATAGATTGGTAATTTAGATTATATTAAAAAAATATGTGATTTTATTTTCTGTAATTTCATATTAATCTTGATTTTATATATAATTATAATCAGATTTCTTTATAGTTACATCTCTTTATAGTCACTTTTTTTATAATTACACTTTGAATTTTCCAGTTATTAATTAATTATAATTAAAAAATCTTTATATAATGCATATTATTTAAAGTTATTAAATATTTATATTTTATAAATTAAAATAAACTTCTTAACTAAGAAGTAAATTCAAAATTTAATTTATAAAATAATTAAAAAGATTTATTTCATTATTTTAATGAATTAACTTCTTGATTAAGAAGTTTATTTAATTTATAAAATATAAATATTTAATAATTTTAAATTATATATATTATTATAGTTATAAAAAAAATTTGATTATATTAAAATTATTTATAATATAAAATATTAATATATATAAATTTTCTTTTTTTTATATTAATAAAAATAATATCAAATCAAAATTTATATATTGATTTAAGAAGATTATCTTATTTAAATAATAATTAAAAAAGTATATCTTATATTAAGAATATTTATATTTATTTATTAAAAATAAATATTATATAATAATTATAAATATTATAATTATTCTTAATTAAATAAATAGAAATTAATAAAATATATTATAAAATAATAATAGTAATTATATTTATTTAAGAGAATTGAAATATTAAATATATTTAAAAAAATAATATTATTATAATATAAATTTTATTTATATTTTTATTAAATAATTTATATTTATTTCTTATATTTATATTTTTATTAAATAATTATTTAATTATATTTTATTTAAAAATATTTATTATAATTATAATTATAATTATAAAAATAAATTATAATTCTGAATAATAACTTAATTATATTTATTTTTTTAATATTAATATTATTAATAATAGCTTAAATAATATTATTAATAGATTTTTTTAAATAATAATTAATTTATATTAATTAATTTATATAAGTTAAATTAATTAAAATACAGTGGCAATCAAAAATAATGCAACACTTAAATTTTTTACTAATTATAATTAGTAAAAAATTTAAGCGTTGCATTATTTTTGATTGCCACTGTATATTAAAAAAATTAATAAAATTATATTAATAAAATAGTTTAATAATATTAGTTTAAATAGTTAAATAATTTAATTAAATTAATATTTATAAAATTATTAAAATATATAAAAGTAATATATCTTAGTTAATAAGTTAATATAAAAATATATTATATAATTAATAAAATAAAAAATAAAATAATAATAAAAATATAATATTATTTTACATTAAAATTAATATTTATTATTATATATATTTTTTATATTATAATTTTAAATTATATTTTAATTAATTATATTATATAATAGTAATCAAAAATAATATAACACTTAAATTTTTTACTAATTATAATTAATAAAATATATATTTTTTCTTATATATAATTTTATTAATAAATATTTTTTATTTTTAACTTAAAAAATAATTAAAATTCTCAGAATTTTTGGATTTTTTATTAATAACTTGTTCTAATTGCATATAAAGTTAATTAATTTTTATTAATTAATAATTAGTAAAACTTAATTAATTTTATATGCAATTAGAATAAGTTATTAGTAAAAAATTCAAAAATTCTGAAAAAAATATATATTAAACTAGAGAACTTTAACTATTTTTTAAGCTAAAAATAAAAAATATTTATTAGTAAAATTAAAAATTTTTATATACAATGGCAATCAAAAATAATGCAATGCTTGAATTTTTTATTAATTATAATTAATAAAATATGTATTTTTCCTTATATATAAAAGTTTTTAATTTTACTAACAAATATTTTTTATTTTTAGCTCAAAAAAT